GAAATGACTACCAGAAAGATCTACAAACTAAAGGGTACAGGAAAGGTTCTCCCTGAATCCTCTCTCACTCTGTCACTTTTGCTTGAAATATCACTCCTTTCAAAGACAAACACTACTAGAACACAGCATCTGAATCACCAGCACTTTTGTGTGAGGTGGGTTAGCTTGAAGAACAGGCAATGTTAAGTGGAGAGGGCTACTGTGAAGGCAAATTGAAGAAAGGGGAGGTTTACGGAGGAATGTCCATCTCTAACACTGCTTGAGATCAATTCTGCTGCTTGTAAATAAACCCTCCCATTCTTTTTGCTACAGAAAATTTTTTTCCAGGAATAAAACTGGACCCTTTATTCCAGCCAGCTGATCAGGATACTTTTGCAGTAACACTATACGATTAAAAACAAAATTAAAATAGGTAATTGATACAGAGACATTATCATATTCAGAAAGAATGTACGTTTCGGAGGGGGTTTTTCCTTTAATGGGAAAAGCAAAAAATCTTTTTTTGTTCAAGCAGGCCTGTTCTAACCTCTTGAACTTCCAACGATCTAGCCTTTTGTGTGCTAGACAGATTTTATAATTAAATTGGATGTAGCCTTTTCAAAATTAAAACTGGGACACTAAGGAACTGGTTTGATAATGGCACTTCTAGAGAGCAGAGCCAGCCTTAGGTGGGGTGATGCCCTGAGGACACAGGAGAAAGGCTTAGGAAGTGTGTCCTGTTGGCTTCATCCCACAAGCACAGGCTAAGCTTGTGTGCTCAGTGGCTGGAAGGCCCAGAGCTGTGAAGTCTGAAGCTCTGAAGCACAAGGTTTGGTGCTGGCTTCCTTAGGCACACTGGTCTCTTGTCCCTGCAGCTGAAGCTGTGGCTGTGTGGACCAGGGCCTTGAGGGTGTGAGATGGTTACCATCAGGTTACATTAGAAGTGTTGTCCCAGCCATTTTAAGGTTAAAAAATGTGGTCACCCATGAACAGGAAAATCATCTTGACATAAATGTGCACTGAATTAAGCTTAAAAATAACTACCACCACAGTCCTAGGACTTCTGCCCCTCCAGATTGCCTCTTACCCTCACCAAAAGTGACTTCTTATGTACGGGAGGACCCCATGTGCTTACTTTAGTTAACAACCCAGGCCAGGGGAAAAGGGTAAGTGACTTTGGGGATGCCTAAAGCACAAGAACAGCTGCCTGGGGCAATAAACTGACCCAGCTCTATGTCTTCTTCCATTTTGTCAATGACCATCAGTTTCCAGAATGAATTTCTCATAACTGGCCAAGAGCTCGGGATCAACAGCCTGCTTTGGAATTGAGGTCGGAGAGTACGGAGGATCGACGCAAGCCATTGGCCCTGAACCAGAGTTTATCCCTGACTCCCCACTGCTTGCTGGGAAGGGGGCCCAGATTTTCCAGTCCATTGGCTGCAAACCACGGTAGTTACCCTACAGAAAAATGGATTTCCTATCCAGGAGTTATTCTATGGCTTGAGGGCTCTGCCTCCTTCACGGACATAGCTCCTTGCCCGCGTGCCCTTTTGGTGCTCACTTTCATTCTTTCTCCTCGGTCCACTAGTTTTCTTCTTCCTCATCTTTTTCACTGCCACCCTCCCCCCCGGCCCCGCCAACGTCCCGGTCCCAACCTTCCATCCCCTCGGAAGTCCCAAGGCGAAGGGGGGCTGCCTGGGAAGACTGGAGTACCGCGCTGGGGATCCCGGACAGCTCAGACCTGGGGAGCCTAAAGCTGGGATGGGAGAAGTTGGGGAAGGGGAGGACAGACTCCCGGAGAAAAGACCCTGCTAGCGCTGGGGAGAGAGGAGGTGCGGTGAACACACCCAAGCGGTTACCTAGGGAGGAGGTGGGGTAGGCATTGGGGAAAATACTCGCCCTGAAATTAAACGTGTATCGAATTGTGTGTAGGGTCAGGAGGCTTAATGCATATCATTAAGCCTCCTGGGTACGAAACCTTTCGGCTTGAACTCCCCAGCCTGCGGCTCCCTGCTTTCTCCTGTTTTGGGAGTGAAGCTGGGAGGGGGCTGGCTCCTGGGTACCTTGCCCGCAGTTTAGGTGTTAAGTGCCCGAGTGTGCGTGCTGGGCAGTCTGTGGGGTTAAGAACGTTTCGCTGGAAGGGATATGCAGACGGAGGTGGGAAGCCAGGATATGAGAGGGATTCCCCGGGCCCGGGGTGCAGGCAGGGAAGTACTGCGCAGACCTGGGCGAGGTGGCCTGAACCCAGGGAGCCGGCGAGGGGGTGAGTGGAAATTGCACCTTTCCCAAGGATTTAACCTCGGTGGCCTGTCTGCGTGATCCGCGCGCTCTTGCGCGCGAGTCTCCGGCCTTGGGGGAGGGGGGTCTTTGGTTCTCACGGGAAACATCCTCCCGGCCCGGCCCTGGGCAGGGAGTCGGACATTTTTCTCGGCCTCTCTCCCGGCAGCTGGCATATCCACCTCGTAGGGCTGCTTTTAGGGACACAGGGTTCAGGCGAGTCTACGGGAGACTTTCAGGCCAGGCCCTCATCCCCCTCTTGGGGCCCTCGGGCGAGAGTTCCAGCTCTTGGCCACCTCCTGCCCACACGTGAACCCAGATAACCCAGGACACGCGATCCCCGCAGGGAAATCCCGGGAAGCTGCACGCGCTGAGGGTGCGGTGGGGTGTGTGACTGCGTGGACCTCGCCGCCCCCCACCCTGCAGCCCTGCTCCGGAGGGGCAGGGGCCAAGCGGAAGCGGCGGGCGTGGAGCCGCGGCGGGGAGGGACTGGGAGCTGGTCCGGGGAGCGAGGGCTGACGGCGGACCGGGCCGGACTCGGCGCGCGCCGGGAGGAGGGAGCCCCCGCCGCAGCCGCGGCCGCCGCGTGCTTAGCTAGTCCCCGCCCAGGGAGACGGAGCCTCCCGACTAACTCCGCCCGCCGCCCCGCCGCCTGGAGGCTCCCGCTTCCGTCCCGGACCGAGCCTGCGGCCGCGCAGGTTGGTGCCGCCGCGGGGCGGGCAGGGCGGCCTGGGCGAGGTTGGGGCGGGGGGTGTTTGGAGGGGGGGCTCGGAAAGTTAGGCAGATGCTGGGCCCGGGACGGGGATCCTGCTGCTTCAGCTGCCTCCGTTTCTCGGCGCCCGAGGCGGTTGTTGATTTCTTCCCGGGCTGCTTCCAGCGTGACTCCCGGATCGGGCCGCCGGGCGAGGAGGCGCCTGGCAGTCCAGCCCCGGGTCACTCGCTGCTGTCCGGGTCGCGGGGTGTTCAGTGCTGCCGCCAGGGAGAGTCCTGGGGACCAAGCCATTTTCTCACTCCCCTAAACCTCTCTCTGACACCCCCTCCCACTATCACTTGGTGTCCTTGCTTAGTTCGTTGAGGGGTCACCCTTCTCTCCAGTCCTTGGAACCGTCGTACTTTTCCTTGTGCCTTCACCCTATGGGTACATTTCTTCTTTTTCCTTTGTTGCCCCCAACTTGGAGAACTCTCCGTACTGGTGAGAAAGCCTTCCCCGTCCCCCAGCCCACTCTTGAGACTTATTTGGGAGAAAAGTGGGCCGCCAAGCCGGTAGTGAGGGGCTGGAGCGGAGTCCGACCGGAGGTGTTTGCGTGCAGGCGAATGCCGGGAAGCAATGGGAATTCCCTTTCCCGTTCTCCTTCCTGATGCCAGCTCTGCCCTTCTCCCTGCGGTTTTGCCAGCCGTAGAGTGTAATACGACGGCGAAGGGTGATAACCGTGGCTGAATGAAAAGTATCTGCCACTTGGGAGTTAAATCGAGATTTAAGTCTGGGTTCAGTCATCTTCTCGTGTGTGGCTTTGGGACAGGACCCGCCGGAACCTCTGTGTTCTCTTCTGGAAAATATCTGTCTATTCTGTCCACCCCTGAGGGTCGTTGTGAAAATCCAATGGGGTGACTTAGGTGTATTACTTTATTTTGAGCCAGGGTCTCTTGTCTCAGGAAGCTGCCTGATATCAGGTCCTGTGTTCTAATCTTCTGGATTCAGGTCCTTCGAGTGAAATTTTACGGAGTAAAAAGCATGTGTTACTGGAGCTGACCATTAGTGTTCCGAGTTGAAATCGTCCTCTCCCCAGGAAACCCTCTATAAAGTAATGGACCTTAACACCTAATGTGGCTGTGGTCTTAGAAATTTAAATAGTAGGGAGACTGTTATTGGCTCAGTCTTTGGAAACAAGAACTGCATTTGCTTCAGATGTGTATAGTCTTTAAATCTCTTTTTCATCTCAGGTTCAAATTTAAATTCCTGATTTTCTGCTACTTTTAATAATTAAGGAAAGAGAACATTTTGGTAAAGTGAGTTCTGACATTTAGCTCAAGCACATAATTTGGAATGTATGATTGTCAATTTTCAGTTTATGATCACGGGCACAAGAAACATCCTTAGCTTCATTCTAGTTCCTTTGTAAAGCAAGCAAGCAAATGGTCTATGGAAATCAGCTTTAGACTTGGCATTAAATGGCTAGGTCCTGTCATCCATGTATTCCTAATTTTCTTGAGTTCCTGTTTGTGCAGTGCATTCTGCAATGTGCTGTTAGGGATAGAAATTATAGAATATATTCCTTGCTCCAAAGGGGCTTCCAGTCTAATTTAGAGACTAAGCAGTTTTATTTCATGTGGACATCAAGTATCTTCTAATGACTACAGACAGCAAGTAGAATGATGTCAAGAGTGCATTATCAGAGGTTCTTGAAGGTCATTATTTGGTCAGTTTACTTAATAGATTGGAAGAATGCCAGGTTTTGGCTAAGGCAGTGTTTTCCAAAATAAATGCATCTGCTTCATCAAATAGAGGCACAACTTGGAACTAAAATGAATTCTGTGTTTTTAAGAGTTAAAGCTCAGAAATGTATCCTGTACATGTATGATCTGTAATCAAATGTTCAAAGTTGTTGAGATTTCAATTCTAACTTCAGTCAATAAATCAAATTTATGGTACCCAGATTTGAGAGGAGGAAATTATATTATGATATCTTAAAAAAAAAAGAGAAAGAAAAAGAAATACAGAGATTGAATCTAAGATTTTTAATTAGTTGGAACTTGACCACTTGAGGGCCTGGCAGGCCCAGGATTGACTGGAATATTGACCTAAAAAGTTGTAGGCTTTTAGTGATATATATATATATATTTAAAAAAAAAGCATTTCTGATTTGGCTTAAGGTAAAAGATGGGCATGAATTCTACCTGGAAGAGATTGATCTGGAATCTGTCCTTTCTGGTTATAACATTTTGTGTTACTCAGTGACATCTCTGATTCTTTTCTTGCTCCTGGAAAGAATCTATCCATCTCTTGGATATGTGTAGAATTTCTTAAGCTTTACATACCAATACCGTTCTTTTAGAGCTTTGATTAAACTCAGGCAGTGAGGCACTGTAGGCTGAGGGGCAGCCTGAGGGACTTGATGTTAACTTTACACTTGGCCTTTCTGCTCAGCACCTTTGTTTTCCTATTTGTGAAATGAGATGAAGGATCCTTGTCACTTCCCTGTATACTGTGGTTTGGCATAATAGTCATGAAATGGAAAGAGAGAAATCTTCTGTGTTGGTCAGAACTTTCTTCATCCCTTTAACTCTTTTAGTCCTTAATAACTAGGTAATTGTTAAAATCATATACAAATACAAATCACTTAAAAGAATGGTGCTGAATAAAGTTGGTGGTGGTGTCACGTGCTCTCAGGTCTCCTGGAAGGAATTTCAGCCATCTTGTATCTCCTACAATTTACAGAAATGACGTGGAGAGTAAGACTTTTCTCTTGTCCAAGGTTGAACAGCTTCTTAGTGGCAGGAGTAGAACTTTAATTCCAATTTCCGTATAGCTAATTCTCTGGTTTCTCCTTACCCTTTGTAGTCTCTTGTAATCTAGAGCATATTAAAAAAAAAAAAATGGTTAAGAATCTTGGCTGTGGGTTCTGATCGGCCTAGGCTTGAGATCTGCCCAGGCATTTACTAGGCATGTGATTCTAGGTAAATTACTTAACCTCTCAAATCCTCAGTTTTCTCATCTCCAAAATGGAAATAATGGAAGTACTTACCTCACAGGACTGTTGTAAGGATTAAATGAGTGAATCTGTATGAGGTGCTTAGCACATTGCCTGTTAGTACTAGTACCTAGGCATCTACTACTCCACTACTCAAGTAGATACTCCAGTTTCTCTGGGGTGAAATCACCTCTTAAAGGTCCAAAATTAAAACAAGCAAAAAACTGTACATATATACACACACAGACACACACACACACACACACACACACACACACATATCTTCTGTGAAAGCTGGAACCTATGCAAAGTGGAAACTTGTCAGAGAAGGAAAACTCAAATATTTTCCATTAATAGAGAGCGATATAAAAGTGGTAAGACTGTAGCTGTCAAAGGCAGAAAACTTGAGAGACCTGGAAAAACAAGGCAGTCCAGTCAAGTCCAGCTCTCGTAGGTTTCTCTGTGGATATAGTTGTTATATATAGGCATGTATAGTTGTTTTATATATATATATAACCAAATATTTTGAAGTAGCCATTCCTCAGCTAATTTATGTTTCATTTATTTATTCAGCAGTTGTTTACTGAGCTCTTGCGGTCTTGTGTTTCCCTAGGCACTGGCATACAGTGGTATAACAGTCATGATCTCTCTCTTATGAACCTGAAAATCTAGGGAGGGATGCAGACTTATAAACAGGAAATCACAGTGTCATGTGATTTGTACCATGGTAAGGGTAATTCACGGAACCACAGAAGGCAGGGTGGCAAGGCAGGGGCGTGGGTGGGTGTCACACAGTGCATGTCACCCTGATTGGGGTTAGTGGGGATCAGGGAAAACTTCTCAGAGGACACAAGTACACTGAGACCTGAAGTGTGAATGATGGAAGCTGAAGAAGTGGGAGGTTAAAAGAATGTTTGAGACCAGGGGAACAACAGGATGCATTAGAGCTAGAGTCAAGCAGATAATGTAAAAGAATAAATAAATGAGAGCAAGAGGGAGAGGTGTGGCTACCTGGAACCCATGCTTTCTCTAAAGGGAACAATAGATACAGTAAAACCTGTGAAAGCTGGAACCTGTGTGAGGTGGAAGCCTGTCAGAGAAGGAAAACTCAAATATTTTCCACTAAAACGGGCGATAGAAAAGACCACACCCTGTAAAAGGCAGAAAATTTGAGTGACCTGGAAAAACGAGGCAGTCCTGCAAGGTTTCACTGTACTAGTTTCAGCCAAATGTTGTCATGTTGGGATACAGGCCTGGTGTTGCCCCGATGTTTTCAAGAGGAGCTTAAAATTCCTATTTTATAAATGAAATCTCCCAAAATGTTAAATGGCCCAAGTTTTTTTTAAACTATAGTGTGGGCCAAAACCATTGCAGTTGGAATCAACCAGGTACCACCACTTAATGACCTCTGCATTAAGGAGCTGAAGGAAGTGTAGTGTGTCTAAAGGAATGCATCTTAGAAAGGAGAAGCAGGAGAAGTGCCCATGGATAGAGGCCAGAGCTGCATCATTCAGGGTCTTGTGGAACTTGCTAAGGAGGGTTGGCTCCATCTTAAGAGCAGAGGTTGACATCAAAGACTGAAGCAAGAGTAACATGATTAGATTTGTGTTTACAGGGTACAGTTTGGTTGCTCTATGGAGAATGCCTGGGAAGAGGCAGTAGTGGAAGCAGGGTAACCATTTAGGAAGCTATTGCTGTGGTCCCGGCAAGAAATAAGTATGGCTGGAGCTAGAGTACTGAAGCAGAATAGAGAGAGCTGGGTAGATTTCAGAGTTAGGTATAACACCTCCACTGTTGGGAGATAATCTCTATTAGTCACTGGGTTTCTACACATCTTGCAAGCAGAGGTAGTGACTGCCTTCATTCTGGACTATCTTTTCATGAACATTTACATAGCAAATAGCCTTACAAGATAGAGGCTCTGGAGCAAAAAGCAGGTAGCCTTACTGTCCAGTATAAAAGACTTGGGTGCTCTAAGTTTGGAGTCCTCTCCTGTGATGCAGATCACTGCGTGTGCAGGTGTCACCTTCACACCTCTTCATATCATCCTGTGGGAGTTAGGGTTCAGAGAACTGGCACAGCTTTGGTGATAACTCCTGCTATTGCTGTCGTTGTGAGTAACCGTCCTTTGTCTCTGACCTGGAATCTTGTGTCTTCTGTCAGCATCCGTGAAAATGTGGCATGCTAATTTGTTAGCTTGCAAGTAGGGTACAGTCTCAGACCCTTTATAATTCTTGAGAGCCACTAGCCATGTTGTTTGAATTAAAATTAAGTAACATTAAAAATACCAAATTTTCAGTCACACTAGCTATATTTCAAGTGCTCTAGTGACTACGCAGTGGTTAAGAGCTCGGCTACTAACCAAAGGGTTGGCAGTTCTAATCCACTAGCCGCTCCTTGGAAACCCTATGGGGCAATTCTACTCTGTCCTATAGGGTTGCTATGAGTCGGGATTGACTCGATGGCAATGGGTTTGGTTTTTTTTAAGTGTCTACTGTATGGGACACAGCAGATATAGAATATTTCCATCATTACAGAAAGTTCTGTTGGACATTGCTAGTTTAAAGCCTTAGATTTGTTTCTCTGTGATGGTGGAGGTGGTAGCAGGTGTTGATTTTGACAGCGTAAAAATGGTGTTTGTTTTGTGTTAGGTTCATGCGAGTTTCTATATATGGAGGAGATATTCCAGTTTGGATAAGCTGTACAGTATTTAATTCAGCCTGTTGGGGGGAAAAATAGAAAATTGTCTGCATTATCAGTTTGGAGACTAGGCAGATTGGGAACATGTGGCAACAGAAATGCTACATGTATATGGCATTCCTCAAAATCGGTGTGACTGTGAGATTGGGATCTGTGCCCAGAGGAGCTTGAACTTTTGAAAACTGTCTTCAGCTTCATCTACAAGCCATGCTTAACATGAAAGAACAAGAGCGATACATTAGAGTGAGGTTCTGGAACACAGCCAGTCCAGCAGCGCTGAGGCAGTGCCTACTGCATTCCAGCTGTGCTGGCCTGGACGCACATAAAGGATGGAGGACTGCAACAAGATTTCCACGTAGCTCTTGTTCAGGGAGCTTGAGAGGACAGCCCCAAGAATGGAAGGAACTGGACTCAAAAAAGAAAAAATACAGTACTTTTAAAGCATAACTTTAAATGACACATCAGAGGTGAGGGGTGGGGATGCGAAGAAACAGTAAAAGCAGCAGATCTGCTTCTCTGTCAGAAGGAAGCAGCTCATTTTGAGGGGGGCGTGGACCACAGGTACTGATAAGTGAAAACACGACGAATGATAGGCCCAGTGAACAGCAGTTGAAGCCACAAAGGACAGTTTTTGCCGACATTTAGTGTGTATTTGTAGTTACAACCTAAGGGAAACAAAGGACAGTGGTAGAAATAAATAAAAATGAAAGCTGAGGCCACTCTGAAAGAATCATACTGCCGCCTGCTATTTTCATGGCTAAAAAGCCCTGTCATAAATTTCAGATATTGAGAATTTCATTTACCTATGCCCAAATAAATAAATAGCACTTATTTGAAGACTAATTAAAATTTTTTAAAAATTAAGTCTAGAAAATTTTAAAAATTGAATTTGTTATTTTTAAGCACCTGTATATGTAACCCAGAACCCTGGTGGTGCAGTGGTTAAGAGCTACGGCTGCTAACCAAAAAGTCGGCAGTTTGAATCCACCAGCCGCTCCTTGGAAACCCTATGGGGGCGGTTCTGTTTTGTCCTGTAGGGTACCTATGAGTCAGAATTGACTTGATGGCAATGGGTTGGGTTTGGTTTATACATAACTCAGTCCCTGGGTTGTGCAAACAGTTTACGTGCTTGGCTGCTAACCAGAAGGTTGGCGGTTGAGTCTACCCAGTGGTGCCTTGGAAGAAAGTTCTGGCAATCTACTTCAGAAAAATCAGCCATTGAAAACTCTGTGGAGCACAGTTCTACTCTGACACACCTGGGGTCGCCATGAGTAGGAATGGACTCAATGACAACAACAAATACATATACCTATTGTTTACATTATTAATTGCATCAATAGACCCTTATTTTCATAGTAAATTCTGGGAGAGTCAAGGTCATGTGATATCAGGGTTTGTACAGACATGTGTAAAGCAGGCATTTCTTAATTAGTGAGGTTTTGCTCCATTTAGTTTTTAAATGCTAGTTTGATAAATGTCTTTTTTGTGTATGTGGATTTTAAATCTTATTTCTGTGGGAATGGAAATAGCTGGTTATCCCTCCTGCACACCCCCTCTTGTCCAAATCTAGTAGTCACTTGTTCCATTGTGCTTTTGTTTTTCCTTTCTGTTTTGTTTGCCACAGTTCTTACCTGGGCTTCAGGCTTATGTTTCCTTGGGCCTCATTCTCTTCATATGAACAGTGTGAGATTTGAAATAATCTTTGTTGTATTTCTGGAGATCAGCGTTTTCACCAGTTTCATGCGGTCCTTACTCAGGCAGGGTGTGGTAAGTCATTTTTAGAAAACTCACTCCAGTAAAACTGGTGTATGCTGTTGAAACTTAATGTGCCCTCCTCAGAAAGCAGAACTGGGAGACTTGCTGTTTACTGCATGAGTCACTGATGGGTTCAAATGCAAGGAAATGATATTAGTTGTTTTGCATGTTTATCAATGTTGCATCTCATTTTAAAAGAAGCCTGACATAAGGAAATGAAAATAAACCGATAAACTCTTTCCCCCCAGAGAATTTAAACATGAATTCTAGCGTTTTGTGAATAATACAGTAATAATGCGGGTGACAATTAGATCTAGTCCTTCAGCCCATGATATCCTGCAGTGCTCAGACTTTTTAGTGTGTGTATTTCCTCAAGCTGTGCATGAGTAACTTTAATCAGGAGCAAAGTGGGTTCTTTCTATTATATGCCATTTCCTCCATGGCCCTTGCCTCACTTAGATATTGCTGTATGCCTAATCGACCACAGTGAAACATCTTTAAAACGTTTTCCAGGGGACTAAGGACTTTTGGGAAAATGTTTATAAAGGCAAAAGCCAAGGAGAACAGTTAGTATGGTTTGTCTGCACAGATGAATGTTTCCTAAGAGACTGATGAGTCAATGAGTTGTTAATAGGATATGTAAATGTAACCTTTCTCCCATTTACCATCATTACTTAAGTCATAACTATGTATTTTCGAAAATTGCTTAAACTGGTTCTTGTCTAGTTCCTTAATGAAACAGACTCTCTTTGTCCCATTCTTTTCCAGTCAGTAGTTAGTGCTATTTAAAGTTTGCCTTGCCCTATGCTATCCCTTTCTCCTTCTATTTTTATAACAGTAAGTTCATCATTATATGATAGATTTTTGCTAATATCTTTGCTTTAGCTTCATTTCAATATTTGCGGAAAGTTTTCATATCTGTGTATTTGACATTGACTTCTAGCTCTTTGGTTCCCGATAGGACATCTTTTGTTTATTTAACAAATGTTTATTCTGTGGCAACTATGTACCAAGCACTATTCTTGATCTTGCAGGTCCAGTAAGCAAAAATACATGGTCTGTGCTATTATGGAGCAAAGAGTCCAGATGGAAGGCAATCATTAATTAAAAAAAAAAAAAAAAAAATCACACACATATACACTAATGAATATATAATTACAAACTGAAGTAAATGCTGTAAAGTAGAGCAATACAGTTTCATGGGCATGAATAACAGAACCCTGAGGAAGTGCCTCTTGAGTTGATATGTAAAGGGTGAGTATGAGAATTTGGGAGAGGGTGGGAAGAAGAGTTTTCCGGGCAACAGTGGGAACTATAGATTTTGCAGAGGCCCTGTAGCAGGAGGGAACAGAGTAAATTCAAGGAGAATCACGAGGAGAGTGGAGAGACATGAGGCTGGACGGCTAGACAGGCCAGTCCGTGCAAGGTCTTACTGGCCGTGAATTTGGTCTCCATCCTAAGAACAATGGAGAGCATTTTAAGTGGGGGCTGGTGACTTGGTGTGATTTGTATTTTGGTAACATCATTCGTGGGGGAATGGATTGGAGGGGGGCTTTGAGTGGCAGGGGGGATAAGTTGGCTGGCTGTTGCATGCGTCCAAGTGAGAAATGATGGGATGTATGAGGCCTATAGCCTGTACTAGGAGTTGTGGGGGAGGGCAGGGAAGATGGAGAGCGAGTGTTTTAGGGAATAACATCAACTTCACTTGGGAATAAGATGGGATTTTCTTTTATTTGTTCAAAAAATATTTAGTGAGTCTCTACTGTGTGCCAAACTCTGTGCCAGGCTCTGGAAATAAAACTGTGAACATAATAGAAAAGAACCCTGTACTCATGGAGCTTACATTTTAATGGGAGTGACAGATAATCAGTAAGTAAGAAGATAAATATATAATATCATTTCAGGTAATGATAAATCCTGTAGAGAAAATGAATTAGCATAAGGGAATGGAGGATGACAGGGAAGTGTCCTCGTATATAGGGTTGTCAAGAAAGATCTTTCTGAAGTAACATTTGAGCAGAGACCCAAATGAAATGGGAGAGCTAACCCTGCAAAGATCCTCTACCAAACTGAGGGAAAGACAAGTATAAGAACTTGAGACTGGAACAAGAAGAACCCCTTCGTGCAAAGAATACAAAGGCCAGTGTAACTGCAAATATGAGAGAATGAGGGAGGGGAGGAAAAGAAGTTGTTAAGGATGTCTTGTCAGTAGCATTTAATAGATTTGTTATCTTCTCTTCAGTCATGACCAGTTTTTCAAAGCTACACACTGCACCAACCACAGTCCCAGGTTGCTCTGACGCTAAACTGTTCCAACAGCTACTGGAACAGTTTCCTTCCTCCTGTCACACCCTGCTCAAGAATTTCGAGTGATGACCCTTTGATTAGCTCACATGAAGGGCCCCTCCCTTGTTTTAATCCCATTTCTCATTGCACCCTCTTTGGACTTCGCTGTGTTGTCAAATTTGTTTGTTAGGCCTTCCACGCAGTTTATTGATTTTCTTTATGGCTTTGCATTCATCCTGGTACTGCTTTCCTTTCTGTTAGCCTGTTTCCATCTGTTCCTTCAAGGCATCGTTCACAAGTTACAGGTTACATTTTCTACTAGTTTCTTGTGATTTATTCTTTTTTGCCTGGATCTCTGAGCCCCACAGACTGCTCAATCTGTGAAATATTATCTTTTTCTTACTTAAGTCACTTGGAGAGGCACTACTTTAAAATGTTACCATTCTTGCAAGTTAAAATATTTATATTCTCTCTTGCCAGAAAAGATTTGGCTCTGTCATGTAGGTGACATTGGCCAAAACATTCAGCTCTCTGAGATTTAGGTTTCTTGTTCACATGATGAAGATACTAAGCCTCCCTTATTACATTCACAGTGTGGTTGTGAGGAGTAGATGAAGCAAAACCCGTAAAATGTTAAGCAAATATAAAACATTTTTTTAAATATTTTATGAGAGTGTATCCACTATAGATGCCTCAGAAGAAAGGCCTGGAGGTCTACTTTTGAAAAATCAGCCACTGAAAACCCTGTGGAGCACAGTTCTAATCTGACACACATGGGGTTGCCATGAGTCAGAATTTACTCGATGGCAAATGGTTGGTTGGTATTTCATATTCCTATCTAATAGTAGGTTTCTTACACCAGCTCCCATGTTGTGGGATCATGTGTGTGCTACAGGAATTCCATGAGACTTTTTGAGTTTCCAGGTATACTAAGCAAGCTTGGGCCAAATTAACCCACAACATGATTCAATGCACGGGCAAGAAAGTGAAATCACAAACATACTGAGTTAGTTCTGTGTGTTGTAAGAGGAGATAAATTAGGTGTGGAAGAGCTAGTTTCCTATATGTATAGGGCAAGATAAATGAAATACTTTGTAAGAGTTGTATTTGAATTCCAAGCATTTATATATACTTATTTTAGAGTTCTGAAAGTCCTCTTAATTTCAAATGGGTATGAATTAGAGCAGAGACCACTGGCTAAGTGAAGGAACAAAGGAGCCCAGTAGCTTTTCTTCCAAGTTTTAATAGTACATTCAGTTATTGTACTGAGGTGAATGGAAACAAATGAACAAACATGCGATTCATGTGCTTATTTAATTTTTATGTGGACTTTTTTTGTGTGAATAAATCTATTGCTTTTTTGGCCCAGCATGCCTCCCTTTGACTTTCTGGAAGGCTGTGTGAAGTTCTATGACAGACGGACCACCTCTCTGCTAAACACGAGGAGGGACCAGTTGTGGTTTTTATCTTAATTAGATGCCCTACCTTAGTTGACAAAAACAAGGGTACCTTGTTGTGCTCTCTTTGCTGTTAGATTTAAAGAATCTCATTGATACTATATTATAGTTTCTTTTTCCTCATCAGTTTCTTTTTATTATTATTCTGTTTTGTTATGTTTGACAGTGCTGGGAAGAGTTTCATGCATTTTGAGCTATTGATGTTGGAGATCACCAAGGAGCACTCCTTGCGGAGTTTTATCTAGATCTGGCATTAAGGTGTCCCGTTTTATCTGGTGAGCATGTGTTTGTCTTCCTTTGACCTCCAGTTCTGGCATTAGGACAGCCTTTGCTTCAGGGACATTGAGGAAACTATCTGAAGCTGGTATGGTATTTCCTTGTATACCTAGCTGACCAGCTTAAAAGTTTAACCCTTTTTTTGTTTCCTAACAGTCTGGCACATAGATTATATCTGAGAAGTCTATTGTGGGAAGTCATTCAGATTTAGGTAATAGAAATTGAATATTTGTCCATTATCTAGAAAAGTGGTGGTTTTGTCATCAACCAGAAGAGCTTTCTCAGCACAGCTCTTACATTCCAAATAGCTACCTTGCAGAGAAGGTTTTTAATTGCTGCACCGCCATTGATTTGCTTCATTATTTTTGCTGCATCAAGATTTTCACTAAAGGAAAGCTGCCATGGGTTGTTTATTCCTGCTTATTGTTTTATTTTTTTTAAATTTTATAGAAGGAGAAAAAGAATAAATTTTACTACTACTGTAGAAATAAACTTCCTCTTGTATCCTATCATGTAGATGTTACCTGGAGAATAACAATTCTGATCTTCATCTTTCAGACCTAATGGAGCACCTTCTTTCTGAGACTACCAAAGAGTGAAAGAGTTTTATGAGAAGGATAATGTAATGTTCAGGACATTGAATTTATTGCTACCTTAATCTTTATTATCTGCAAATTTTGATACTTCCTTGTTCTTAACTAAAGGTTTTGATTTAAGTATTTCCCTTTCTAAGCACAAATACCAGAAGGTCAGAACAGTGACTCAGGTGATAACATCAACCATGTAATGTGTTGAAGAGAGAATGAGTTGGATAGAGAATTTTGTGGGCTGAGGGGCAGGGCAGGACATTTAAAAGAAGCATATTTGTTCCTAGAGCCTGGAGAAACCTTGTTTCTGGCTACTTTAAATATTCCTTTTCCTCTTTTTGTTTTTGAAATCTTCCATTGTTGTTCCAAGTTAAAATATTTATGTGTACATTCTTTCTCCCTAAAACATGAGCTTAAGGCTACACTTGGAACCATCTGGTGTTTTATGTAATCTCAGCTTCTAGCAGAAGGCTTTGAACTGGTGGGTACTTAGCCACTGGGTTCCAGGGTGGTCATAACCTTTTTGGTATTAGTTGTCTTATTTGATGAATCCCCTAAATTTTTCCTGAGATATAAATATAAAAATATGTATACTTGACAACTACCAGCTTTTCTGAGGTAGTTAAGCGGCAGACTGCTTTAGGTTCAAATCCCCGGTCTGACATTTACCGGCTGGGTGACCTTGGACAAGTGACTTATTCTCTTTATGCCTCAGTTTCCTCATTGCTGAAATTGAATAATAATAGTAACTAATTAGTAACAGCTTGCCCTTATGTAGTATATTATGTACCAGGTGCTGTTCTAAGCACTTGGCATATTAAACACATTTAATCCTCAGAACAATCCAGTGAGTTAGGTACTATTTTATCTTCATTCACAAATTAGAAAAATGAGGCACACAGAGGTGAAAGTGATTGCCCAAGGTCATATAGGTGCTAAGAGGTGGAGCCAGGATTTGAATCCTCAGAATTTGTCTTGGGGCCTACCTTACCTCACAGGCTTGTTGTGTGGGAATAAATGAGATGGTCCATGTAATGCATTTAGAATTGAGTCCTGAATATAGCAACCCCTCAGTCATCTACCACTACCACCACCGCCGCTACTGCTACTACTAAACCCAACCAAAAGCCGTTTGTTATCTACTCTGATTAGTGCCTAATTGTATTTAAATAATTAATAATTTCCCCAAAGACTTTTTATAGACCTGGAAAACAGCTTTAATGGTATCTCTCTCTTTTTTTTTGGTTACAAAGCAGTAACACTTGGATTGGTTTTTAAATCTGCTTCTTGCATGACTATCTAATATAATATTTTGTACAGTAGAGCAATTTGAGAGTTGCAGCTGCATAGAAAAAACTATGGGATTTTGGTTAAGCCTTTTGGGAGTTATATACTCCTGCTGGCTATTTTAGATTCTGTTCAAAGAAGGTAGGTCCTGTAACAATTTAAAAAACTTTTTTCAGTACAGGTTATACTTGATTATGAGGGAGGAGTGGTGGGGACCAAAATCACCTAATGACCTTTTTTTTTCATTTCTAAAAACTATAATTCTGTTATAATAATCATTTAGATGGCGCTTTAAAAATGAAAACATAGCTCTTATGTAGATAGGCATATGTTCCATGTAGGAATAAAATGGAAAATCTTTGTCATTAGTGCCAAATTCTAAGCAAGGGGAACACATACAGGATGGGAAGAAGGTAGTTTTATATTTAAAGCATAACCCATCTGGGGTTTAAACTTACCAGCTTTGAAATGCTAGCCAAGTGGTTTTTCAGCTGGACAACAAACTTGGTGATGATAGTGGTTCTGGCTCCTTCCCATAAGCTCTGTGTACTCGTGCCTGGTGGCTAAGTCTAGTCCCTTCAACTACAGGAGGACAAAGAGAGGAAAGGTGGGGGAGGGACCTTGTAGAATCCTGAGAAGAGGAAATAGATGTTTACTCTGCTGTTGGCTAGAATTTTGAAGCCTTTCAAAAATAAAGGTTTATGACCTCAGTGGCTCAGAGGCTGCCTCACAGGCTGTGAGGTAGTAGAAAGTCTGTAGCTGGGTTTCAGAGAAAAAATGTTTCTGTGTTCCTACCTTGGTAAACTGTGGACTTCAGTATCAAAATAATTAATCCCATTTATTGAGGTAGTTTCGTAAAATGGAGAAGAAAACCAGCTTCCTTCTGGCAGTAAACCTTGGGGTCAGGTCTTGGTTCTGCCTCTTACTAGCTACGTGACCTTGGGCAAATTACTGAACCTCTCTGCACTTCAGCTTTATCATCTTCAAAACAGGGATATGCCTGTACCTACCTCATATAGTGTGGTTGTTGTAATAGGTTTTTTGAGATGATGAATATAAAATGTTTATACAGTGTTAGGTATTATTTTATGTTAGATATCTTACCTAGAGTGCCTCTGTAACCCTGAAAAGTAAATCAGTATCCCTATTTTACTGAAGAGGAAATTGAGGCTCACAAAGGTTAAACGATTTGTTTTGACTGTGAAGTCATGTGAAAAATGGCCTGTCTTGTGCCATCTTCCTCTTCCTGATGGTTGTGCTAGGCTACTGCCCATCAATGCTAAGCTTGTGAAATAGGGGAGCAGAAGATCGCAATTTGTTTTTTCTAAAGTTTTATGCTAGGATGCTTGTGTAATTTAGGAGATACACAGTGTTCTCAAACTTGTGAAATGTATGGGCCCTTTTCAAGGGAAACATCCTCATTTCCAGTTGGACTTAATTATTTTTGTCACAATTTTACTTAAGTATATTCAGTTTTGGAGTAAATGTTAGTTTAAAGCACTTATAAATGCCAACAAAACTATAAAACCAATAAAATTCAAGTAATTACATTAATTTGTGTGGCAGATAATGTTACTTTGTTGAAAATTGTCAGTTTTGGGTTTATTCATGCTGAGAATGGGTTTTATGTTTAATTTGTGTCTACATTTTGATTTTATGATATTAATGTATCATAAACCTTTGAATATCGGTGATTTCCATGTGGTTCAGCCTAAAAAAATGTCTTTTTAAAATAAGTATGTTATATAACTTGGTAGTAATAATTTCAAGATGTTTTTGACAGTTCACAATAATAGAATTTCAGGAGTAGCAATTTTAGTGGATATTACTTGATAAACCTGGAGAGCTGCTTTGTTCTCTTAGGAGTTGAGATACTGGCACAGTGTTTAAGTGTAAACCTCACTCTAGTCCTGGGCCTGACCTTAGGGCCCAGAATCAGACATCCTGGGTTCACGCTGCTGCAACAGTATTTTTTACATAAAAAACAATGGGTATGTTCATGGCACAGTGGTTAACCGTTCGACTGCTAACCAAAAGGTCGGCAGTTCATGTCTACCCAAGTGCTCTTTGGAAACCCGATGGGGCAGTTCTACTATGTCCTATAGGGTCACTATGAGTCAGAACCAGCTTGATGACACCTAACAACAACAGCATATTCATATTTATTATGTATTCTTTGTATATTGATGCACAAGAACGGTTTACATATTAAGCCTATCAACCCTTTATCAAATACCTTGTAAATCATTTTTTCTGCTTGTGGTTGCTTTTTGGTTTGGATGTGGTGTTTATTTTTTTACAGATATACTATTTTCATTTTTATGTATTTTAACACATATTCTCCATCATTTTTATTTTTCTAAAAATATTGTCACTGCAAGGTCAGATATTTACTTGTGTTTCTATTCTAGTTGTTTTATATTTCACATTTTATACTTAACTATTTAATTTTGGAATTTAATTCTGTGTATAAGTATCTATCTAAATTAATTTTTTCCATGGATTTGAAATTAGTTCAGCATCTTTAACTGAATAATTATTTCTTCTCCACTGATTTAAAATGCCACTTTTATCAGACTCTAGATAATTTGGTTGAATGGAATTTGGCCTAAAAAAAATTATTTTAAAGCAAGGTTGTCAATATGACTATTCTCTGGTCTCTAGTATTGGTAATTTGCTACAGTATGAAGTATTTTGTGTTACTTAAGAATTTTAGTTTATCTTTAGGATTTTTTAAAACTTTTTTTCCCTTGCTCAAACAGAAATCCTTTAAAATTCATTGTGCTTGAATGGATGGCATTATGGATGTCCTTGATATTTTATAGATTTCTGATTTTTGTTAAGGAACCTGCATGTATTTTGTCAGGGAAAAAAAAATAACAGAAGAATCCTGTTGTTGGACATTCAGGTTGTTTGTGCTGATCTCCTGTGGTTGGATTCTTAGCTTGTCAAGAACCCCATTTTGGCTTATTTATTGAATAGTTATTTAGCAAGTCCCCTCTGTCTACCAGCCAGAGTTCCAAACCCAATCATCCCTTGTTGTCAGTATTTGGTTTGCTGTTATATACCCCCTCTTAACAAATATACAGTTGTTGCAACTTATCCGTATAATTGGACATTTAATTAATCCAGCTTTTTAAAATTTTTTATTATAATCTACCAGACCAGGAGTTTTTAGTAGGCTGAAAATTCATGAGAAATAGTAAAGCAGTAATTAGGGAAAACACACTTTTTAAAATGAACAAAACATTTAAAAACACGTAAATAGTTTTAAACCTACCCCCATTATGCACCCAAATTGCCATTACGTGAAAAAAAAAAAAAAAAGTGAAAAAACTAACTGAATAGCTCTTAAAAATATATACCTTTTTAAAAAATTAAAATGTAATAGAAATTCACTGCACAATTAAAAGAAAATGAACACAAGCTAGAAGAAGAATCACCTAGAATCAACTACTGTTAACGTTTTAGTGTATATCCTTACAAATATGTGTGTGCTTTTAAATGTATAATAGAGTCATACAGTACTTACTGATTTGTAACCTCTCACCTTTTTACTGTTTGTATTTCGGATCCATATCTGTTGCCCCTTTTTCTTCCCTTTAAGTGATCTGACGAAAAGGACCTAAATTTTCTTCTCTCTTTCCTCTCAATCATGTCTGTGTTTGTGTGTATGTGTGTGTATAGTGTGAGGTAGAATTAAAATTTGATCCCCTCCCTACCGTCCTTAAAACAATTTATTTAACAATCTATCTTTTCTCTATTGATTTGTGATTTTTCTTTTATTATATATTAATACATAGCATCAGTTCTTGAAAAGTTACTTTTCTCCACTGATGTTTCTATTCTTCAAGTGTCACGTTGATCTCATTGTTGTAGCTTGAAAATAGGTTGTAATGACTGGTAAGCCATTCTCCCTGAACATTCTTCTTCTTTTAATTATTTGTTCCTCTGACTTATTATTTCCAATCACTGATACTTAACCAGTGTTGTGCATCAGAATTATCTAAGAAGATTTGGCATAATACACATAATCTTTGCAAATGATAATTTAGTAGGCTAGGATGAAACACAGGCATGTGTATCCTGGGATAACTTCCTGAGTGATTCTAATATGTGTCTCTGTTTAAGAACCACTGTTCCAGTGACATTCATGTTGTTCTACTCAGTTATACCCTACTTTGAGATTTTTAGAACTAGATTTATAGCTCTCAGCAAAGTTTTGTTTTTTCTTTGTTCACATCCCACACGTTTCTTATTCTAGTTATTCCTGTATATGTAGAATATTTTTCGTGAATGGGCTCTTTTCCTCCCAACCCCCTCATAGCTTCTGATTTGTTTTTGTGCGTATGGGGAGTATGTATCTATATCTAAATATTTTTGTTATCAGTCAGGGTTCTCCAGAGAATAGAGTGTGTGTGTGTGTGTGTGTGTGTGTGTGTGTGTGTGTATGTTAAGCAATTTATTTTGAGAAATTTACTCACGTGATTGTAGGACAGCCTGACGGACTGAAAACTCAGGCAGGAGCTGATTTTGCAGTCTTGATTCCGAAGTCTATAGGCCACACTGGTGGGCTGGAAACTCAGCAGGAGTTGATGCTGCAGTCTTGAGACAGAATTTCTTCTTCAGGGAAACCTTAGTTTTTGCTCTAATTGGATGAGACCTACCCACATCATCAAGGATACTCTCCTTTACTTAAAGCCAGCTGATTGCAGATGTTAACCACATCTATAAAATTCCTTCACTGCAACACATAGATTAGTGTTTCATTAAATAACTGAGTACTGTACTATAGTCAGAGCCCTGGTGGCGCAGTGGTTAAGAGCTCAGCTGCTAACCAAAAGGTCAGCAGTTCCAATCCACCAGCCACTCCTTGGAAACCCTATGGGGGAGTTCTACTCTGTCCTGTAGGTCACTATGAGTCAGAATCGACTCGATGGCAACAGGTTTTGATTTTGGTTTGGTACTATAGCCTAGCCAAATTGACACAAAAACTAATCATCTCAGATGTTTATATTGTAGGGCAGTTTTCTTTATGTATAACTTCTTTCTTAGGTAAAATGGATCTTTTTCAAAATCATTATGTAGCAGTAAAAGTAATAACATATAAAAATGGAAAAAGTGAAGCAATGTATGAATTGGTTTATAACCTAGAGAGAAAAGGGAGTTACCAACTGAAGACTTGAAGTCACTTTCTCATTGAGACTCGCCTTGACTATCCTATTTAAAATTGCTAACCTTTACCTGTGATCCTTCATCCTGTTGCCTTGCTTTTTTTTTTTCTCTATAGAACTTGTTATTGTCTAACATATTCTGTAGTATATAATCGATTTTTTTTCTTTGATTTTTTGTTTTCCTTATCGTCTATCCCCATTAAAATTGAAGCTTCATTGAGCTGGAATTTTAAGAACAGTGCATGGAACATAATAGGTGCTTTATAAGTATTAGTTGTATGAATCCAACTTTACATGAAGAAAAATCAAGTATTTAAGTGGAGGTCTCAGAAAAAAGTGACCCAGTTGTCTGAGTAAGGATGAGAGATCTGATTCTACTAGAAAATTTTGAAATTAGTCCAAATCAAAGGCCTTTTCTTCCCTGGAGAAATCTGTGGGTAAGATGTACATTAAAAAAACAGCCCTTCAGCTGAGAGGTAAGTGATTTGTTATTTTAATGTGTGAACAAGGAATGTTGCCGGTTGTTTCCCGGAGCCCTTGTCACTGTGTGGTTGTTATTGTTGTGTGCCCTCGAGTTATTCTGACTCATAGCTACCCTACAGGACAGAGTAGAACTGCCCCATAGGGTTTCCAGGGAGCAGCTGGTGGATTTAACTGCCAGCCTTTTGGTTAGCAGCCTGAGCTCTTTACCGCTTTGCCACCAGGGCTCCAAATACTCGCAGGGGATGGTCTTTTATTTTCCCCCAGAAATAAAGCATTTTGGTTTAACCTGCCTCCCTTCCCCCCACCCCCCGAGTAGAGGTCATTGAAGTTATCTTTCTTTACATAGATGGAAAAAAAGAGAAGTTGTTTTGTCGAGTTAGAGATTAATATGGGATAAACCAAAAATAAAACCAGTTGCTGTGGAGTCAATTCCAATTCATGGTGACCCCATGTGTGTCAGAGTAGAACTGTGATCCAGAGGGTTTTCAATGGCTGGTTTTTCAGAAGTAGATCCCTAGGTCTGTCTTCTGAGGTACTTCTGGGTGGACTCAGACCTCCAACCTTTTCGTTAGCAACTGAGTACGTTAACCGTTTGCACCACCCAGGGACTCCTAATATGGCACATTTGTGTTTATTTTTTCTGTGATGCTGCTGATGAATGGTCACCTGTGAAATTTCTTTCTGCTCTTGAAAGACTTGCAGTCATTTCTTCTGTGGGCAGAACTGTATCAGTTGTGACTGGAATACTTAACACTTGATTGGTATTGTGCCATTTTGGGAGAAGCAGGCTCGAGATCCAGTAAGCACTGCTTGGGCTCCCCTTAGATAGAAAAAGTTCAAAGGAGAAAGCCTGTATCACAGAAAATTAAAAATGAGACATGCAAGAATTGCCTTTCAGCTTCTCAGCTCCTCCGTGTTTTTTCTAAGATTTGATTTGTGTTCCCCTTTAATACTTGCATATTGCTCTTCTGCAGTCTCCTTGATTTTGCCCTGTACTTGTGTTTGTATGTTTATATTTGTTCTGTCTTGTCTTTTAGATGGTAACATTGTCAAAGGCAGACAGTTTGTCTTCTACTTCATGATTCCCTAGATCATTCTGTGCGTGTTTTAAACAAGGAGCACTCAATTAATGTTTGTCTAACAAGTAAACAAGAGGGAAAATTAGAGTTTTCAGGAAGGAGACTGTAATATTACCAAAAATCATATTAAGGAGTCACAGTAATCAAAACAGACATGTGGTCTCTCTAGCATTTAGAGTGAAATGAAAACTAGGCCCCATATGAATGGATAAAATGAGTTGTGGGACTGCTGAAGTAGATGATTATTATTACTTCCTTACAAGCCTGTTCTGTGGCATTTTGTTTCAGAGGAAATTCTAGACCTTTGGTGATTTAATCTTGCAAAATTAGAAACCTCTAAAATGAGTCATTCTCATTTTCATTCACTTTGGTTTTACATAGAAGATTACATAGACAATCAGATGAGTGAAGCTTAGTTTTCTGGTGGGCTGGTAACGACAGTTTTCTGTTTGTCCTTGTCATAGTTCACATAATAATATTTTATATGTTGATGCTGTACAAGTCAGCTTTACATTGTATGTTTTCAGGTAATACTTTGTATGAATTAGAATTAAGCAGTCCCTAGTATTCAGAGATGTCTTGACACCATGAATATAAAATCAGAGTAGAAGAGAATGACCTGTCATGGAAAACCGACTAGACTAGCCATCAGAAGATCTGATAGGCTATTCTCTGTACCTACAATTGGACTTCCATAAAACGAAGGTGTTAAATGAAGTAATCTGTAAAGCAAAGATTTTCAGCTTTATTGAACCCAATGCCATCCTTTTTAATAACATATGTTTTATATTGCCCTCTTTACTATCATGAAATGAAATTTATATATAAATATAATCTACTTACATGCATAACTGAAACCTGCACAACTGAACCAATAAGCAACATCATGATAAAGGGAGAAAAGATTGAAGTTGTCAAGGATTTCGCTTGGATCCATAATCAATGCCCATGGAAGCAGCAGTCAGGAAATCAAACGATGTATTATTGCATTGGGCAAATTTGCTGCCAAATACCTCTTCAAAGTGTTAAAAAGCAAAGATGTCACTTTGGGGTATAAGGTATGCCTGACTCAAGCCATAGTATTTTCAGTTGCCTCATACGCATGCGAAAGCTGGACAATAAATAAGGAAGACCAAAGAAGAATTGACACCTTTGCATTAAGGTGTTGGTGAAGAATATTAAATAACACTATGGGCTGCCAGAAGAACAAACAAATCTGTCTTGGAAGAAGTACAGCCAGAATGCTCCTTAGAAGCAAGGTTAACGACACTTTGTCTCACATACTTTGGACATGTTACCAGGAGGGATGAGTCCCTGGAGAAGGACATCATGCTTGGTAAAGTAGAGAGTCAGCAAAAAAGAGGAGATGGATTGACACAGTGGCTGCAATAATGAGCTCAAGCATAACAATGGTTGTGAGGATGGCACAGG